TCCTTTATAGTGTGATCCTCATAAGAACTCTCTGAGGTCAGTATTATTCTAAATTTGCAGACGGGACTTAGAGGCTCACAGAATTGGAAGGCTTACCCAAGGCCAGGACATGACTCCGTGTCTCTTGAGTGAAGTCGGGAAGGCTTCCCCTCCAAGGCAGCTTCCATGGTTGGTCATGGAAGTCACCATGAGAGGTGGGCCTGCGCAAGACAGTGATGTTCACAGTTGAACCAAGGATTCAGAGGGCATCACGATGCCCCTCCACTCACAGAATTGCTATAATCTTTCTTTTGGACACTCAGAGTTGCCTTCTTTTCAAACAAGAGCACTTTCTCATAGTACATTACAAATGCAGAGGCAACAACTTCACCTCAAGGAGCCTGTACTTGGTAGGACTGGCCCACAGGCACTTTGCCCATATCCTACTCACATGGATGATGAGGGCTTTACCTGTGTAACTAGAACAATTCTTTGTACTCTCTCAACAGCTCCTCATTTAATTGGTAGAGTGTTTGAGAAGTCATGCTTAGAAGCTTACTAGTAAAGGCCACCAGAAAAGCAAAAACGGTTCCTTCATTTTCAGGTTAAAAGGATGACCAAAGAAATGAAGCATTAAGTTTTAGCTCAGTAAACCAAAAGGAAAGTGTGGTGTGGGAATGGGAGGAAAGCAGCGAGTATTAATATACCTAATATGACCACAGTACCGTTTGCTACGTAGGTTTTAATTAGGCCCCATTCCATGACCCCTCATTCTCTGATTCCTTAAATTCCAAAACAACCCCAGAGAAATCTTTTCTGGTTTTGCTTGGAAAGCAGCACCACATTTCTGCGCCTGTGCATTCTGAAACAGTCCTGTCCAACTCAAAACCTAAACACAAGCTGACAGAAGTCGGCTACTAACAAATTAAGTAAAATTAATAAGAGTAGATGCCTGAAGTATAAAGGAAATGTGTGTTTTTTCCAGGAACCTCTTTCCGTAGATGCCAGGCTAGATAGAGAGCCTACAGCAAACCTCACTCTCACAACAAGCCCTTTCCTTTGCTTTGTCATGTTTCCTAGAGTGCCCTGCATGGGAACCCTCTTCAGAACTATTGCGCCCACTAGTGGCAGCTTCCAAACCCCCATCTACCAGTTTTATGGGCATATTAAAGACATGATAGATGGGGGGCAAAGTGCTGGTCCAAGAAACCTTATTTCAAATCCTGACTCTGCCATCAAATTACTACAGACCCTTGAGCAATAGAGTTCAGTTTTGTGAATATAAAAAATCTATAAGTATATATGCAAATACATGACAAATTTAGATTTTGTCCCATGTAGATTTTGTCTTAAGACAATATTTAAAACTGTTTTTATGAAGACAGATACTTAAGCTTTTTTATCTTTGTATAGACAGTTTACAGAATAAAAGAATATACAAATGCTAGTCTCAAGACCCAGATTCCTTTCCATTTCCACTGTTCCCATCCTACTTAAGACACATGGTTTTGTGCCTGGTGTCATGGATCTCCTCCCTTCTCCTTGCCAACTTTGTGAGCATTCTTCTCCAGGCGTTAGACAGGCAGAACACATTATGGCTCACTCAGTAGCACCAGGGCCTGGAGGAACTCATGCAGCTACAAAAGCTAACACCCGCCTAAAACCATAGTTGGTTCAGGCCCAGTGGGGGAGAGGGGTTTACATCCTCTGCATGAGATCAGGCAAGGGCAGTAGTTCTATGGCAGTGGTTCTCAACCTTCTGGCCCTTTAAGTACAGTTCCTCATGTTGTGACCCAACCATAAAATTATTTTTGTTGCTACTTCATAACTGTAATGTTGCTACTGTTATGAATCGTAATGTAAATATCTGATATGCAGGATGGTCTTAGGTGACCCCTGTGAAAGGGTCATTCGACCGCCAAAGGGGTCGCGACCCACAGGTTGAGAACCGCTGTTCTATGGGGAAAACATGATCTGTGAATATGAAGATCTAATCGGTTGTCTAGGGGGAAATTGGCCAATATCATATGACTCTTGCTTCTTTCTCAAAATCTTCTCATCCCTATCCCCTCTTCACGGTTAAGCCTCCATTCAAAGTGTCCAACATTATCAATGGAAGGGTCACTGAAATACCAAAAGTTGGTCTGGAAGTACCTTATCAAGCTCATTTTAACAGTTCCCTCTGCTGAGTAGGAAAACATACTTCAACTGGGTTTTAGACATTGATAAACTGAAATGCAGGGAGGTGAAGGGATTTGCCCATGGTGATTACATAAATCATAGCAGGACCAAAATAAAGTTCAGTAGACCTGCTCTGAATGTTCAGTTCAAGAACTCTTTCTGTAGAGGAGAGAGAGAGTGCCAGTTTTAGGGAGGCAACTGTCCTGGTGGACTTGGGAATTTAACATCTTAATCCATGCCTTTTGAGTGTGATAAAATTGAACAATTATCTACTAAGTTCTATTATCCTGAGTAGTTAGTTATATTTAAATTTGCCTAAACCTGCTGTCCTTATTTTCATTTGGAAATTGTTATGGAGGCATACATGTTCCTGGGACATCATAAAGTTTTAAATAATAAAGTCAATTTGTAATTTTTCAAGTCTAAAACAGCCTGAACATCTAAAGAGATTTGGAAATAATACGCTATTATATCTGTTAAGATACCTTTAGAACACAGTGACATTATTACTTAAATATGGCATGGCTTACCAAAGATAAGTAAATTGTATAGTCATCTTTCTCTTATTAGTTCCTTTGAAATAAACTAACAGTGCACATGAGATTATTTGAGACAAAACACCTAATAGCTGATGGATGAGTGACTGAATGGCTGGATGAGTGCTATCACAGTCTCTCCTGGCCCCTCTGTCGTCCCTCAGCTCTGGTTCAATGCCACAAAAGCTTGACTGTCCCCAGTAATCTCAGTGATGGTCTGGAATGGCACTGAAGCAAACACAAACCATCCAAGGTTTTCTGTTTCTTTCCCCACTTTTTATTGTATCTGCCCATGTGTAACTAGATTGGAGATTGATGTAAGCCTTGCTTTTTCTCTTCCCTGCCTTCCCTGAGATAGGAGGTAAGAATAAGCAATGCAATAGATAGATAGATAGATAGATAGATAGATAGATAGATAGATAGATAGATAAATAAGCAATGCAATAGGCCCAAGGCCAAAAGTAGTGCTGAGGGGGCCTGATTCGGTGCCAGACTCCTCAACCACCTCAGAAAAATTAAGAGCTCACTAGAGGCTGTGCCAAACTGTAAATGCCATAGAGTGTAGAGCAGTGGTTCTCAACCTTCTGGCCCTTTAAATACAGTTCCTCATGTTGTGACCTAACAATAAAATTATTTTCCTTGCTACTTCATAACTGTAATGTTGCTACTGTTATGTAAATATCTGTCTTAGGCGACCCCTGTGAAAGGGTCGTTCGACCGCCAAAGGGGTTGCGAACCACAGGTTGAGAACCGCTGGTCTAGAGCAATACTGAAGAAAGAAAAGAATTGTCAAGTGGGGAGAATGTGTTACTAAGGCAGGAGAGTCCAACTCCCTGTCTTCATTTTATCACCAAGTCTTGTGAGTTCTCCTGAGATTTTTATGGTTTTTTTCCCTTTCCTGAAAAACAGCCCCTGCTACCTGCTTGCCTTCTAAGAATGGATATTAATATGTTAGGCGACCAGATCTTTGAGCCTTTTGAAACTAGGAAGTTGAAAATAATCACAAAGGTAGAAATGACTGACTCTAAGAGTGCAAAATCCAACTCTAAACCATTTCTGTGCTGTTGAATGATTTATCAACCTAAGGCCCTGCCAAGTCCAAGTACTGGATCTCTGAGCTTCCCACTGTGTCTTCCTCAACTGCCCTCTGGATCCTCACCTCCGCAAACACATTCCAGTTATCATCAGCCTCACCAAGTCACCATGATATCAGCTTCAAGTCACCCTTAATCATTAATCTGCCTCACTGCCATGATGTAGTAGTTAGTTCTTGTAAGTGGTCTAAGTCAAGAGAAGAAAAAATAGGAGACGAGGTTGGAATGGGTTTTGAAGTCCATGTGGTAGGCACCCACAATTTGATTCTTGTCATTCTTTTCAAGTAAAGCAAAGAGTCTGAACTAGTGATTATTCTGGAATAGTCTACATTACCCCAAAGGGCAGGCATTGCCTTCATTCTACTGGGCACCTCCTCTACAGAGGGCCCTCTGCCAAATATTGTAGGAACTAAAATAATAAGTAAGATCTGAGTTTTGTGCCCATATTGTTTTCAGACTAATGAGGACAATAGATGTACATAAGACTACCTGAAATGGAGAGGTAATTACATATATCATTGCCTTCCAATGTACACATCAAGATCCTCTCATTGATATTTGATTTTTTGGCTTCCTCTCTCCCTCCTCCAAGCCTTGGCTCTTAGGGGATTACCTCTCTTGTTTATATTAACAGATGCCTTTCTTCATATCTGGAAGCTCTATTTCTACCATCCAACTAAGTCCCATTCCTCCTTTATAATACTGCCTTTTCCTTAATACTTCTCCAGACCCATCTGCAGTAGTAATTCTCCCTCCCCTCTCACCCATGAGGTGTATTCTGTGTATTTAGTACACATGTGCTGTCTGCTCCAACTGGTAGCATTTAGATCAAGTAGTCAACAAGCAGCATAAGCAGTCAAAACCTCCTTATTCGGTGTTGCTACCAGAATCCCAGCAATCACAGTGGAAAGAGAGCCTGGGTTCTTGAGTATCATTTTGTTAAAACAGGATTCTGAATGTTCCTTGGGTTCCCTCCTGCTTTACCAATACAGTGGGGCCTTGACTTACGAGTTTAATTCGTTCCGAGACCGAGCTCGTTAAGGAGCTAGTTAACTCAAATTACTCTATCAACTCAATGCAAAAAATCAGTGGAGAGACAACTGTATCTCAAAAAACTTGTTAGTCACGACACTCGTAAGTCAAGGCCCCACTGTATTGATTTCCAAAAAGGACTCAACTGACCTGACCTACATGTTTCTTTCTGTTCCAGGATTCTTCTACAACCAGATGATTCCTTACAGATCCTGGCACCAGTGGAAGCTGATGTGGGTTTCTACACTTGTAACGCCACAAACGCCTTGGGATATGACTCTGTCTCCATTGCCGTAACGTTAGCAGGTAACGTGGAAATCCCTGTTCAGTTCAATTCAGAAACCATTATTGGGTGGGTGCCTCCAATGTGCCAAGCAGGACCAGGGACACATAGACAAATGAGATCCATGCCCTGCCTTCAGGAAGCTTATAATCTGTAATTATAATTAAAGGGAGGTGGTGTATAGGAGGAGGTAGAATGAAATAAGTACTCTAAGTGATAACCAAAGAGTGTGCAAAGACATTTCATTCCATCCAGGAGGTCTTAGAGTTAGGATGAGTGGAATTTTTATAAGCAGAGATAGGGAAAATATTCCAGACAGAAAGAACATGAGAAAAGGGGATGTGCACAAGTAAGTAGCATGTTGGGAAACGTAATTGTGACCTAAGATTATTGACTGCTCTTTTGGGATCCTGTCATTTCTCCTTGTTACACCCGTTGCAAAGAAGACCTTAAGACCCATGGGGAATTAGAATTCTGCGGTCACAGTCTGAGCCAGGAGTGTTCTGATTCTGTTTGTTTTGTTTTGTTTTCAACCTCTTGCTCTAATGCACCTGCCAATGCTTTGCCTTTACCCAACAGTGTTATGCAAAACATTCTACACAGGGTGAATTAAGAAAATCAAGATTCAGATTACAGTGTCTCCAAGGTTGTGGTCTTATAGTAGTGCACTTTTATAAAACCTCTTTTATATAGGACAAATCCTTGCCTTTGAAACTAAAGAAAACCTTAGATTCATACCAGTTGAACCAGTGTCCTCATTTCTCAGAGGGCAGGCAACCTGAGGTCTACCAGCCACTCAGCGAGAGGGGGAGAGAAGAAGCAAACTGAGGTCTCCTAACTCCCAGCTCATTGTTCCCTCCACTTCCCACCTGATCCTACCCAAATCGGATCCTTTTTCTCAGACCTGGGCCAGGCAGTCTTCATGGCAGTATGTTGCATGTGTTTGTTTTTATTCTTTTCAATTGTTGCTTCCAACAGATGATTCAGTAGATGCTAGAAAAGCCAACATCACCCCACACTGACCTCATCGGTCCATGCTGGGATTATGTTGTCACACTGTTTTCCAGTCACACATGCTACTCCCTGGCATATCTGTTCAGCAACAGTATTTCTGCCCCTGTGACCTAAAGCTGATCTGAGAAGGGCCCTTTAGCAGGAGGCTTTGCAGAGAAGATGAAAGTCAACAATGAATAAGGCAAGCTAAGGAGCCTTGGGTAGATTAAAGGCCGATATTATTAATGCCTATTTTTTGTGTGTGAATAGAACATTTGCGTTTCTCCTAATGTATTCCAGTCACCAGCTTTATCCCCCTCTTTAATACAGAGTCCAGATGCTCAGCACCGGTCTTGTTAAATCTCTTCTGCCTTCCACCCTCCAACCTCCCTTAGCAAGGGCACTGCTGACATCCTTCCAATTGAGGGCAAACAGTGGCTCTTAGGGGATTACCTCTCTTGTTTATATTTATCCAGATACCGTTCAGCTCTGTCACAAACTCAATGCCCTTTGTTCACCTGCATTTAATACGATTAATGGAAACCTGTCTAGAATTAAGCAAGGCAATTGAAACATCAGGCCTGTCTTCAGTTCTTTGAAGAGGAGCTATTGGAGGCTGCCAAAAGGTTCAAAGCCAGGGAAGTGAGACAGCAGCCAGAGAGGCACCAGGGAAGGGGGGGAAAGGGGCTGCCTGGTGAGGTAAGTCACAGACCCCACCCCAGGGCTTAGGGCGCTGCGTCCTGTGCTGCAGTGGTGGGGTCTGTGCACATCTGCTGGCAGATCTGCCACACAGTGCCTCGAAAAATTAAGGCTCAGTCGTATACTTTGCCTTAAGATTGTGTTCGTGTCTTTACCTGGGATTATCATATATCCCTGTGTCAATGTCTATACTCACAGTATTAAGGGGCTCACCAGCTACTATTCTGAGCATACTCTCCACCAAGTATTATCCACAGGCAGCAATAAATAAGACCCGAGCTTTGTGCCCCATAATGTTTACAGACTAGTGAAGGCAGTACAGTGAGGCCTTGACTTACGAGTTTAATTCGTTCCGTGATGGAGCTCATAACTCAAATTACTCGTATGTCAAATCATAAAGTGAACGAGTGAGACAGGTGATGCTGGGCTGATGTTGTGGTGTTCACTGTGACGTTCGCTGCGCCAACTAGCGGTGGGGTATCTGAAGCTGGCTCGTAACCTGAATTTTAGCTCGCAACTCAAAGCAAAAAATCGGCCGAGAGACGGCTCGTATCTCGAAAAACTTGTTAGTCGGGACACTCATAAGTCAAGGCCCCACTGTAGATGCGTTCATGGCTACTGAGAATCAAGAGGTTACAATTTTCTTCAAATGACATCAAGATCCTGTGTAGCACTGTATAACATGTAACCCAAAATAACCCAAATTGGGGAGAGGAGGGTGTGCATTTCTAAGTTTGATTACCAATTATACTGCTTATTAGCTGTGTGATCTCGAACAAAGTGTAAAACCTCATTGGGTCTTTGTTCTCATCCATAAAAATGAAATTAATAATATTTTATAGGATTGTTGTGACGTTAAATAAGATTGCATGTGTGAAAAAGCACTTAGCCCAATGCCAGGCACATAGTTCACACTCAATAAATGTTTTCTGTTTTTTCTCTAGCTTTTCTAAAATGAAACACATCCTGAAAGCAATTCTAAAATGTGTAAAACATTAGCTCAACTTTGCTCCCACGTATTTTTCACTAGAAGTCTTCACACTGAAATTTTTCGAGTATGAACTTAGGAGCTGGTTCCGCTCACTTGCAATCAGTTCCTCATGGTAAATCTCCGTGCTTCTGTGCTTTTAATGATGCTGCAGAGTTTTTCTTACCTTCAGTTCAGTGGGAATGTAGACCAAAAGGAGGCGGGGGGAGGGGATGTTTTGAGACTCAAAGTGCTCAGGTGTTCCCATGATTTTGTAAGGAATGTATGGACTTCAGTCTTGCCAATGCACCTGAGTTGACCAGATGCAGGGAAATTTGTTCATAATAATTCACAGGAGCAGGCATAGCATAGCAATTAAGCCTGCGGGCTCTGGAGCCTCATAGTCTGGATTTGAATCCTGGCTCTGTCACTTCCTAGCTATATAACCCTGAGCAACTTCTTTATATTCTCTGACTCGGTTTCTTTATTTGTAAAATGGTGATAATAACAGTGCTTGACCCGGAGGGTTCTGGTAGAGATTAAATTCATTCATCATGTAAAATGCTTGTAACTGTGCCGAGCCTATAGCAAGCACTCAATATTTATCAGCTATTATTATTATTATTGTGAGAATAATGCACCAAACAAAAGCCAAGTTATTTTTACAGTCGGGAATATGCTTTTCAAGAGTCCTTTGTAGAGTGCCTGTGTGTATCTCAACCTCTCCATGTCTCGGTGTCAACTGGAAAGATTGAATTAGCCTTCTGAAAAGTGGTTGGAGTGCCTGGATTCAGAGCAAGGGAGGTGGCTAGTGACAAGGCATATTTCACATGGACCACAGAAAGGGAGGCCTGCTGAGCTCTCCCTGGTCCACAGCTAGACTCTCCTCTGCCCCATCCTCTGACTTAAGTGAGTTGCCACTTCTGCTCTCAGATGCATTGTAGGGCCATTGCTACTCCCTCCACAATTTGTATTTAAACATGTAAACACCATTTCGTTTCAGACATGCCAATACAGTCAAACGTTCCTTTCTCTGCTCTCTTTGGGCCTGTGAGATATTGTCTTTTGTGCCTTTTGCTTCTCCCCAAACTCATCCATTATGTACTGATTTTATCTTCTAAGTCTCAGAGCTTTGAGAGTACTTGGCGAGTGTTTCTCGGCATGGAGATGTTTCCCTATCTATCTCCATGGTTTAGGACCTTTACAGCCATGTAGATCCAGTGGCCCAAAATTCCTTTCTGTACTAAATTGACTCAATGGAATGCCTGTTTCACTGCTCAGAATATAGATGAGACTACCATACAGTAGAGTGGAGGAGGGAGTGTAAGAATATCATCAAAACGTCACCTACCTAACATTTTGAGGTATTGATTACTTTGTGTCCAGGGCAAAAATAGTACTGAGTAAAGGAGAGTTTCTGGTGTGTGCAAAGATCAGCACAAAGACTGGAGAGCCATCTTGACTAGTCAGACCCAACACTCGACCAGGTTGCTCAGAAATCTAAGTCTGAATGGTGTGGGCGGCATTTTGAAGGAAAGCAGTAGTATCCCGGTAAATTGCTTCAGTCTGGATCAGTGGAGTTTAGCTCTACTTACCAATGCAGATGAAGCCTGTCCAGGTGTGGAACATTGATGAAGTCATAGCCAGAAGGGAAATGTTTTTGGTTGTCATTGATTTTATAAGATCACAAAAAAGATACTATAAGGCCTGCCTGACATCATCAATGGAGAATGAGGAGGAGACGAGGGCTGAGGGATGAGCATAGCTTTCATTGAAAGGAGAGAACCCAGATGAGCTCATTCAAAGTTTTCACAGGAAAGGAGAAACAGAAAATTTTCTCCTTTCCTGGCATGTTTTCCTGCTTTTTTATGAGTTGAATAGCTGACACATATTGTGTCTAATAAAGAGATCACAGAAACCTCTATGGGAAAATAAAAATAAAAGGCAGTTGTTTCTGAAATTCTTTCTCTTGCCCTTCCCCGCCATGATTTAGCAGCTGCAATAAAAAGCAAGCAAGTTTGTAAGCTATTCATAATGGAAGTCATTTTGCATTGGCATTTCTGGATTTTTCATCCAGCAATTCTGCTAACCAGAGGGGAATTTTGCTTTATAGGGAGTTTTAGACTCAGGGCCTTGTCACCAGTGGCAATGACTGACAAAGGAAGGTTTACTCTGGCACACTAGATCAGAGGGAGAGGCAGACAAGTTTGGCCATGTTCCTAATGGTACTCTGAATAACAGGCTCATTAATGGCCATTGACTGATTCAAGCTGCCATCAGGGGACCTCATTATCTGATAGAATACTGAGTAACCAAGGCCTTTAAGTTTTCCTCAATACATACACATGTATAGCATGCCCACTA